AAGAAAAAGTGCCTGCCGCCACTGATAATGATCTTGCTGCTCAGGTGAGGGTGGGGGTGGGGTGATGCTAATTTGGAGACCCTTGAAAGGTGGAGCTGTGGTTGATCACCGCCTCCCACCCCCTTGTTTCCCTGACAGCACACACGTTTGCTCAGCTGTGTCTAGCCTGTTACTCACGAGGATTTATTTCCTCCACCTTGTGAGGTTAGCAGGGCTGGTGTGTGTGTGTGTGTGTGTGTGTGTGTGTGTGTGTGTGTGTGTGTAATTTCTTAAGCTATTACTTTCATGAGATATAACTGCATGAAATTTAGGGAGTCAAATAGTTCCGCAGAGCTGGTTGGTAAAAACCATATGTGACATCCTCAAAGGGACAGAACTGCAGTGATAGGGAACGGGTCGGAGTTTGTGCGGGCTGAGCGGTGGGAGGGCATGGCTTCTAAGGAGTAACTTTAGGGAGTGCCGTTATGGTGATGGAATGCTTCCGTATTCTGATTGTGGTGATGGTTACTCCAGTCTCCACATGTGATGTAATTTTATAGAACTACACCCCCACCCCCCAAAAAAAGTGCATGTGCAAACAGGTGAGATCTAAATAAGGTCTGAACCGGAGTGCATAGTATTGCAGCAGAGTTGCTACTGGCTCCAAGCTCATCCTGCTCGCCACACGACAGGCCGATAAATCGAGGGATGGGTTGTTGAGGCAAGGAATCGCAGCTCTATTCAGAAAACCAGCAGACCGAGAAGATGGGAAGATGGTGGACTAGTGTCCTATAGAGCCATCTCGCCTGAGTTAGAATTCAGGCTTCTTTTACACTAAAAGGGAGGGAGTAATGTCAAACACTTCCTGGGTCCGGTCAGCCTCCGGAGGGGTGTGTTAATTTCTCCCTTCCTGCAGTCATGCCCAGGGGGACCTGGTCAGGATGCTCCCTGTGAGCTCAACCTAGGCATTTTAGCTTACCGCTCATTCCCTGGGAGGCAGGTTCCCAGAGATGGACCATTGTGTAAAGTTTAAGCTTACAGGCAACACCCCTTTGGTGATTCACTTGTAGCGAAAGCAACAGAATACAGAGGTCAAAGTGAAAGAAACAGATCTAAGATGGAATCAGATTTGTTCTGCCGTGTTAGTGCCAGTGTCCATGTTTTGACAATGTACTGTACTGATGTAAGACAGTGTCACAGAGGGAAGCTGGTATAAGGACTCTCTATAATTTTTTTGTAACTTCTTGTTAATCTCAAACTATCAAACTCTTTCAAAATAAATGGTTACTTTTCAAAAATACCACCATATTCTGTTCCCTTCCACAGCCTTTCTCCCTGTACAGAGGCAAAACTCTGACTTTGTCTGATGTTTATGTCTGTATCCCTATGCAACACTGTAAGGCTGACACTTCTTCATTTATTTAGGCTACATCTGTAAATTTCCCTCTGTGAAGAGTAAAGATCTGTCTCTCCTCCTCCAGCCCTTTCTGTGTCTCCACCCCACCAATATAATAATCATATTTTGTCTAGATTAATAATCAATGTTTAAAATGTAACGTGTGTGTGCTAATCACAGTAAAAGCAAGTATCAAGTGGTGATGACTTTGGCTTTTCTGCATAATGATTTTTATCATCAGAATTAAAAACGATTTGGTGTTATTCTTTCTCTTCCTTGTCTGTGTGTTTAGCTCTTCCGTATTCCCAAACTCTTTGCTGATGATCTGAGACTCCTCTCAGAATATTTTCACATCAGATTTATTAGGAAATTTCCAGTTTCCTGAAGACATTGTTGCCAAATCTTCCCCACGCTGGCCCTCAGCTGCTACGCGGACCTCCCTTCCCCACCAGCCACCTCTTTACCATGACCCTTTCGTGCGTCTCCGCCATGCTTGGGACCTTTGTTTCTTGGGTCTCATGAGTTCTTTCTGCATTGACCCCCGTGTTGGATACAGTCCATCCTCAAGTGGTTTTCTGAGCAAGGGTGTAGGAAGTAAGTTTTTGGAGAACCTGCATATCTGGAAACGTTTTCTTCATCGTGAGGCTGGACTTCAAATATTTAGTTTGGAAATCGTTTCCCCTCGGATTTTAGAAGCTATTTTTCACTGGCTTCTGGTTCCCAGAGTGGCTGTTGTGAATCCTGCTTCGGTTCTGCTCCCTGACCCTCCCCTCAGTCTGGAGGATTGCAGAGCTCACCTCTGTGCCCGGGGTCCTGAGCTGAGTGAACCCTGTGTCTTAGTTGGGGGAGGACCCGTCCTCACTCACTGCTCATCACCCAGGGGGCCCTTCCAGTCCGGACACCTGCATCCTCTCCTTTGGGGAAATTTCTTCAGTTACTTCATTAATGATTCCTCCTCTCCCTTTTGTGTGTTTTATATATTGTTCAGATGCTGGACCTCAAAGTAATCCTCTTAACTTATCTTTTCTCCTATCTTCCATTTCTTTGGGGTTTTTTTTCTCTCTACTTCCTAAGACAAATGTCCTCAAGTCTTGCCCATCAACCATTCCACTGACTTTCCATTTCTGCTATAATATTTTTAATTTCCAAAGGCTAATTTTTCCCTTCTGCGTTTTTAAAAATAACAGTCTGGTTTTTTTATATTTTGAATTGATGTATAGTTGACTTACAATGCTGCATTAATTTCTGGTGCACAGTATAGTGATTTGGCTATATATATATGTATTCTTTTTCCTATCCTTTTCCATTATAGGGTCATTACAAAATATTGAATACAGTTCCCTGTGCCCTACAGTAGGACCTTGTCATTTATCTATTTTATGTATGTAGTAGTGTGTATCTGCAAATCCCAAACTCCCAATTTATCCCTGTCCAGCCCCTTCCCCCCTGGTAACCATAAGTTTGTTTTCTGTGTCTGAGTCTGTTTCTGTTTTGCTCTGTTCTGAATGAATAATTTCCTTGTGTCATTTTTTCTTTAGTTTCCACATATAAGTGATACCACATGGTATTTGTCTCTCTCTGTGTGACTTACTTCACTTAGTATGATGATCTCCAGGTCCATCCATGTTGCTGCAGATGGCATTGTTTTATTCTTTTTTATGGCTGAGTAATATTCTACTTTATGTCTCACATCATTTTTGTCCGCTCACCTGACAGCGGGCATTTAGGTTGCTCCCATGTCTTGGCTGCTGTAAACAGTGCTGAATAGCAATCTGCTTCTGTTTCATAACTGCAGTATCATCTCTGATCACTCTGTGAATGTGAATGATTGTGTATTTTTTTAAATTACGGTCTTGCCTGCATAGGCTCTTTTTTTTTTTTTTTTTCTTTTTTGCCTTTTTGGTCTCTATGACATGTGGAAACTTTTCTTTGTGTTCAAAAGATTCTTGTTGGCTCACG